TTCCTCCTCCCCTCTCCCCCATGCACCCTTAATAATTTATAAATTATTATTGTATCTTATATTACACTGTCCAGCATCTCCCTTCACCCACCCCTCCTCTTTACGGGAGTAAAAAGTCCCATCTTCCAGATAAATGTATAGATGATAGATATCTACATAAACATATCTATGCTCCAGTCATACAAGAATATTTTCTGCTTCATTTTTGTACTAAGGAAAAATATATGAAACTCCCATGTTCTCAGAAGGAATTACAATACTACACACTTATAAACAAAAGCAAGCAAAGCTCTTTCTAGGAACAAAGAAAAATATATACATACAAATACTGTAAAGCTAAAAATAATAGTTTACGTACACATACATTTGTGTATATGAACTATTATTGGAAACAAAATGTGTATGTTTTTAAATGCTTTAAAAAATACTTGTAAGAATTTAACTAAAAGTTAAACATTGCCTTGTGAGGTTGGATCATAGGCCAATGAAGAGTCCTTAATCTGAAATATATATATAAATTTTGTCACCTATATATTTAAGTATAATGGTATAAACGAATATGCACTTCAAGTTTAGATATTTCCTGTGCCCAGAGCCATTTAATTGTTTGGGTTTTCTAAACCTGCTACTGAAATATAGCTTGATGTTAAAAGAGATTTTTTAAGTAAAATGGTTTAAATTCTGTAAATGTATGGTTGGTCTTATTCCTTATCAAGAACTTCTAAGGGAAAATACACTTAAATATTGTTGGGTGTTTTTTAACCTGTCTTTATTTTATTTTCAGAACTGAAGGCAGAAGCTAGTCTAATGGACCAGATGAGTAGTGGTGACAGTTCATCAGATTCCAAGAGTTCTTCATCCTCAAGTAGTGAGGCTGGTTCTAGTGACTCAGAAAACGAAGAGTTCAGCTCTCCTCCTCCTGATCCAGGGAATCATAACCCAAGATATCAGACCTTGTCAGCCATGCCACAATGCAGGATTCCGGATCTAAATGCCAGTCCTAATAGATTTCATGACAGCAGTGGCCTTATGATTAATACTTTAAGTAAGTATCCAAAAACATGAGTAATTAGAAAATAAGAATTTGCAGTAGAGCCATGTTTATTGTGATCAATTATTTGGATGGAGAAGAAGATTCCTATTTTATACATTTGATACTGTTAACCATTATCTTTTTATTATACTTTTGTTGAGTTCATTTTATTTTGACTCTGTGACATAACATTTTCTTTGTTTTTCTCCTATCTCTGTACATGCTCTTCTTTCTCTCCTTTGCAGGCTTATCATCCTGTACTCAGTCATTAGAGTTGGAGTTCCTCAAGGTTTGGTCATAGGCCCCACTTTCTCTTAATTGTATGCTCTTTCCTCAGACAATCTCCACATTTCTGTAGCGATCAATATTTATGTGTCCCTTAATCACCTAAAACACTTGCCTGAGCAGAGCAGAGGCTAAAGGCCCTCGTGATCGAGAGAAAATGAGAGGTTTGCCTAACTGAAGTACTGTATCCTACATGGTTTCTGTTCCTGAATTGTAACCTGTTACCCAGCTCACTGCTATCAAGTCGATTCTGTCTCCTGGTGACTCTATGGGACAGAGTGGAACTTTTCCAGAGGTGTTCTGAGTCTATAAGCAATTTGTCTCATCTTTTACCTGCAGAATGAACTGAGGTTGGCAGACCAATGCTTAACCCACTGTGCCACTAGGGCATCGTGTAACCTGTTATTTCCCTAATAAGTTCCATAATTGTGTAAGGGGGGGGGGGGGTGGGGGCAGATACTTAAGTGCAGATAACTTGTAAATTAGTATCTCTAATGCAGATCTCTCCTGGGAGCTCTATTCCTGTATATCTAACATATCTCTTACTACAAGGTAGCACTTCACATTCATTTGTTCAAAACCAACTTACTGTCTTTGGATGACAGTATTTCTCCTCAGTGAAAACCAGCATTCATGTAATTATGCAACCCAGAAGCTTGATGGGGTTCATTTTCTCTCCCTATTTACAATGTAGGCAATCCTTCCGTTTTATTGATCTTTTAAATATTTCTGTACTTGATGTACTCTTCTGCATCTCTAGTACTATCACTCTAGTTCAGAGTGATACCATGCCCTCTGAGGGTGCTGGAACGATCCAATGAAGCTGTAAAAGCAGACACTTATACTTCTTCCTGGATTATGGGCTGTAATTTTTTCATTGCCAGGAGAATGCTGAGTAATTTTTTTCTGAGAAGGGGGTAGGAAGCCAAATAAGTTTTCAGAACCTATGCTCTAGTTTAACTTGCTCTAGTTCCTTTATGTATGTATTTTCTTCTTCTAAAGGAAGGAGCATATAATATTGATCCTTATGCTGCTATGAACATAGGTGTGCAGATGGCTCTTATATATTAGGTTTCCAGAGTATACTTGGAGTGTGATTGCTGAATCATAACGTAGTTCTCTTTCTCTTCTTTTGAGGAAACAGTATACTATGTCTCACAGTATTTATTTTATAGTTCCACCAGCAATGAATGAGGCTTCAGTGTTACTGTATCATCACAGATTTTTAAAAATCACTTTACTAGAGGCTCATACAACTCTTCACAATCCGTACATACATCATTTGTGTCCAGTACATTAGCACATATGTTGTCATCATCATTCTCACAACACCTGATTTCTACTTGAGCTCATTTTTCCCCTCCCTCCCCGCTCCCCCCTCCCCCTGAATCCTTGATAGTTTTTAAATTATTATTATTTTATCATATCCTACACCATCTGATGTCTCCCTCACCCACTTCTCCGCTGTCTGTCCCCCAGGAAGGCGGTTATATGTAGACCTTGTCATCTGTTCCCCCTTTCTCCCTCACCCTCCCTCCACCCTACTGATATCGCCACTCTCTCCACTGGTCCTGTAGGTATCATCTGTCCTGGATTCCCTGTATTTCCAGTTCCTATCTGTGCCAGTGTACATCCAGTCCAGTCGGATATATAAGGAAGAATTGGGATCATGATAGTGGGGGTGGGGTGGGGAGAAGCATTTAAGAACTAGAGGAAATTTGCTACACTGCACTCTGATTGGCTCGTCTCCTCACCGCAGCCCTTCTGCAAGGGGATGTCCAATTTCCCCCAGATAGGCCCTGGGTCCCCACTCTGTACTCCCCCTCATTCGTAGTGCTATGATATATTTTGTTTGTTTGTTTGTTTTTGATGCCTGATACCTGATCCCTTCGACGCCTTGTCATCTCACAGGCCGGTGTACTTCTTCCAGGTGGGCTTTGTTGTTTCTCAGTTAGGTGACCCCTTGTTTATCTTCCAGCCTGTGGGACCCCAGATTCTATATATTTTGACAGCTGGGTACCATCAGCTTTCTTCACCGCATTTGGTTATGCGCCCGCTTTGTCTTCAGCGTTCGTGTCGATACTTATCTCTTTTTGTTATTTAGTGCCAGTTTAACTGGGATAAGATGGTATTTCAATATACTTTTGATTTGCATCTCTCTACTTTAATAAGGGCAAGGTTAGCCGTTTGAAACCATTCCTACTCTGGGCGAAAGACAGGGCTTTCTACTCTGGTGAGGAGTTACAGTCTTGGAAACTCATGGGCGCAGTTCTACTCAATCCTGTAGGTTCTACCCTGTCCTGAGTCTACATTGACTTGATGGCAGTGAGTAATGGTTAATAATCATGAGCATCTTCTCATTCATGTGTTTGCTGGTTGACTGTCCTCTCTTGGGAAATTTCTGTTCATATCCTGTAGCCATTTTCTAATTGCCTTGTTTTCTTGCTTTACCTTTCATGAATGGTGTCCTAACTCGTTCACCTTTTATCTAACCAAGCCCATTTTTTATCCCTTTTCTATAGTGCAACTAGATTGATCTTCTCACAAGTTGCATAAAGTTTTTCACCTCTCCTGATTTAAACTTTTCTCTAATTTCTTTTAGGACAGAGGTAAAACACCTTACTTTGCACGATAATCTTGCTTTCTGTTGTACCGATACTTGCCTTCTTTTTACCACTACACATACTTTCGCTTACTCACCTCAGAGTGAGTGAAGCTATTTCTTCAGCCTGAAACATTTCCTTATCTTTATGAGGGTCACTCTTATCCACTCAAATCCCAAATGAAGATTTAGTTTCTTCCTTGACCCTTCAGACAATGTCAAATTCCCCCTGAATAGATTCTCAGAACAGGAGGTATCTCTTCCTTAATTTCAATTGTCATAATTATAATTTTACACTTATTTGTGTGATTTGCTCCCTTCCTGTAGAGTCAAAACTCCATGAGAACATTCATGTTGTTTGTTTTGCTTTTAATTTGGTACTGTTAATACTGATTAACAAAGTTCCCGATCCATGGTAAAAAACAACAACAAAACAAACTCTCTGCTGTCAAACCAGTGCTGAATAATAGTGACCGTGGAGAACAGAGTAGAACTTTCCCTATGAGTTTCTGAGACTATAACTCTACACGAGTAGAAAGCCCCATGTTTGGTAGGTACTCAAAAAATACTTAGTGATAAGGAACGTAAATTGATTCTTCTTTGGTGGAGAATGGAACTTTCCCATTATATTTTTAAAACTAATTTCACCATTCTAACAAATGATGAAACAAGCAGGTAGAAAAGACTGACTAGCTCCACCCTAATAACAAAATTGAAGAAGGAAAGAAACAAGATTGGTGGCAGAGATCTAGAGTGAAAAGTATGAATTAATTTGGCACCAGGAAAGTTATTTTGAAAGTTCCGTGATTTAGGTCTTCAGTGCATTATCCTTGCATTGGCAGGTGAAATATGTTTCCAAAACATCACATTCTTGAAAACCCCATGGAACATAGTTCTGTTCTGCAACATATAGGGTCTTCGTGAACCGAAACGACTCCGTGACAACTAACAACTAGCAAACCAAGGGGTCAGGCAGTGGGTTAATGGAGAAAGCTACACAGGAGAAACAAAGAGAAGTGAAAGAACAGCTCTGGCAAAGAGAAAAAAGGCAGTTCTTGGGAGAAATAAACTCATTTTGCATTCTAGGAAAAAAAACAGAGTACTCCTTAAACTTTTTTGTAGCTTGCACATCTTTTATTTTCAAAATGTCCTTATGCTTCAGAGAGAGAGAAAGAGAGAGACAACAACTTCATATCTAATAATCATAGTTGTCTTTTTCTATTACTGTAATTTGTTAATGAATACTTGCTTATTTAAATTTTTCTAAATTGACTTAATAACTCTACCACTATAGCTTTTATTGATGCTATATTGGAAAAATCATTTTTTTCTCAAGAGCTACAATATCTACCTGCATGTAGACAATTTATCATTTCGCTTTGATGCTTAAAAGAGATGACAAACTATTCTCACAAACGTACATAATCACAATTCACTCGAGAGTCATTACTGTCATTTCTAGAAATTATTTCTCTAAAAATTTTAGTTATCCTTTTAATTAAAATTGACTTGGATTTGGCCAGACTTCTGATTTATTTTTATTAAATTAATAGTTAAATCTGTGTTGAAAAGAACATACCTATTCATGTATTTGATCTACAGGATCTACAGTGGGAAAAGTTTATTATTGCAAATGTTGAATCTCTTCAGTTGAAGAAATAATTTTTATATTTTCAAAGCTGTTTCTTTTTTCAAAAGTGAAATTTTTCTTCCTTCTGTATTTCATTCAGATCAGTGTTTCCCAGTGACATAAAACGGAGCCCTAGTCTTGTAGAGGTTACATGTTAGGCTGCGATCTGCCTGGTTGGCAGTTCAAAATATTAGCAGCTCCTCAGGAGGAAGATTAGGGGGTTTAGGGTAAGCTACTGGTGGGAGGTTGATAAATAGTTTAAACTGTTGAATACAAAATTGATTTTACATCTGAAATGTAAAACCCGCACTTAATTAACAATAAACATATTGGAGGGGAACAAAAGGTTGGTACATACATTGCAAGATATTTAGGATTCCAAGAGCCTTCTCTGTAGCATTGTGTAATCACTGTGACAACCAACCTGTCAGATAAGCTGTGATAACATCTCTTAGGGGCAGTACTATTTTTATACAGAACCCTTGGTTTTCATATGTAAGTACATTTGCCACATAAACATTTTTCCCATGTCATAAATAATATACTTTGAGTGGAAAGAAATTTCCATTGCTAACACCTATTCAAAAATCTTTTTTTTTTCCAAAATTTTTTTCAAACGGACATTTCAGTTCACAGCATGGAGGTGAAGTTCACATAATCCTAGACCATAAGTCTGTGAATACTGAGGACATTTGAGTTTATGTCACTTGAGAAGCTCATATTACAGGTATCATATTAACTTCAACGTTATATAATTGTTGTGTTTAAGTGAAAATTTAAGTCCAAGAAAATTGTTAAGTCATCTTAGGAACCAGATACACCAAAGAAACATTAGCATACATCTTTATTAGATGATATAATTTCTGGATTTCATTAGACTGCAATAACACATATGGCTTTAAAACTACTACTCTTATTTAGGGTATTGGCTATTTCAGCTTTTGTTATCTGTGAAGTGGTAAATATATAGTAGGGAAAGAATACAAGAAATATTTTCCTCTAAACTATTATAATTTACCACCCAGGTGATTTCATTCATCCTGTACCAGAACCCAAACTCTCTGCCCTCAAGTGGATGCCAACTCATACTGACCCTAAAGAACAGAGTACAATTGCCACTGATGGCTTCTGAGACTGTACCTCTTTTGAGTAGAAAGACTCATCTTTCTCCTGAAGAACAGCTGGTGGTTTTGAATTGCTGACTTTGTGGTTAGCAGCCCAACATGTAACCACTATGTCACTAGGGCTCTGATCCAATCCCATCGTTTCACACAAATCCCTGCAATCAATGACTCCCAAATCTTTATCTTCAATTTCAACCTCTACTTTGAGTTCCATACAAAATAGCCAACTGCCTATGCCATATATTTCTACTTTAATATTTATGAGCTTCTCAAGCATAGCATTGAAAATTGAACTTGTGAGTTTTCTCCCACTAACTTATTCCTATAGTGATTCTCATCTCATTCATGTGGTTGTTCAGACCAGAAATATTAGGGTCATTCTTCATTTCTCTCTTTTAAAGTTCACATCCTGTTCTTTTCACACCTCTATAAAAATGTACCTTCAAATCATATTATAAATCTGACCACTTTAACACCCCTTCTCCTTTTATATGAGTCTAATCTAAGGGTTGTCAAACTGACTCACAAGCCATATGGTATGTACCTGTGCCTCTGAAGTAAAATTGAAAAATATTAAAGGATATTATTCAGATAATGGTGAGTTCCTTTGTTTGTAAAAAAAATATATATATGGCTCTCAAATATTTTTTAATTGTTGTGAGGGACAGGATTGGCTTTTCAGTCTCTAAAGTTTTCCAAACCCCCGGTCTAAGCCAATATTATTATTCACCTAAGAGACTTTAGTAGCTTCATAAGTCATATTTCAGCTTCTATATCTCTTCCCCAACATCTAAGGCTATTCATAGATCCCTATAGTGTTCAAGCTAATGACCTTAAATTTTTCTAGTATTTCAAACAAAGTCCAGTTTCGACCACAGGTAGAATCTATTTTGTTCTAGTTACCGTTCCATTTTCTCATTCATTTCACTCCAGCAACAGTGGTCTTCTGGAAAACACAACAAGCATGCTCCTGCCTGGTGGAACATATTCCCCTGATACTTTCATGACATTTTCTCTGCATTAGGATCTCTGTTCAAATGTCACCTCTAAAAGAGACCTCAACTATACCATCTCAAATCAAACTTTCCAACCTCTATCTCCATAGGCATTTGCTTTTTTTTCCCCCAAAGCACTTATACCCACTTGATATTATACAAGTATATTTGTTTACAGTTTGTTTCTCTTCTGGAATGCAGGTTCCATGCCTGTAAGCACATGAATACATTTCAGAAAATTATGTCTATGTTTAACTTGATATATACTATTTGTAGGAAAAACAAAAACAAAATCTGTGGGTGGGAGACAGGGATACACAGGTGTCCTCCTCTGACTTCCATGGGTTATTGCCACAAGGCAGAGTTCATGCCTCCACCTTCCAGCCTTCCAATTCTGGCACCAGCTGTTGTTACCACAGCTCTGTTTCAGTTGAATTTGACAGTTCATTGCAATGGCCACACAAAACTCATAGACAATACTCATGGTTATGGGGTTTATAAGGTAAAGTTACGGGTTACAATTAAAATGAGAAATGCGCAGGTTACAGTTGTTCTGCCAGGGCAGCCTGCCATGCCCACAGGCAGACCTCTCTGACCCCCAGCCTCTTGGTTTGGCCTCTGCCCTGCTCATGAATGTTACAAAGCTTTATGAGGGCTGCCAATAAATAGCCAAAGGACATGTCACTCCACCATTAGCCTCAGCCCAAAGGCACTCAGCTCCAGCTGTGTAGATCAGCAAGCCCAGCTCCTTCAATTAAGTGCCCAGAGGCATCCCACTCCACAACCCAGCCTCCTGCTTCAAAGCAGTCAGCTTTACTTGTTTTGTAGGCTGGAAAGCCCACCAATTTCTTGTGCTCTGGCTCTTGGTTCTGTTGTTGCTGTTTCTCTGTCATTCCCCTGGTGTCAAAGCTGCTCTGGATCAAGGAGGTCCACTCCACAGGAATCTCAGTTCAAAGGATGTACTCCACTCTTCTTTTCTCTCTTGCTGGTATTTAGACCACCACCACCACCGCTCATTTTGTACCCACCAGGATGGTAATCACAACCCTGTTAAAAATCACTCACAGCCAAATCATAAAAGCCAGTTAATGTCTTCCCCCACCTTCTTACTCAGATCCATCAGGGAAAGGAAGGTTGTTTGGTGTGAGTAACAAAGGCTATGGCTAGAAAAACCATACTAAGTAATTCCCTGCATGACACTATTGAATGACAATGACTGTATTTAGGTAAAAATAATTGTTTCACTTGTAAAAACAATATAGTCTAATCAGTCTTCTAAACCACATTTTCTCTAATTCCCTGATGTAGTTAAATCAGTGGCAGAAAAGAAGGGTGATGTTGGCATGTGGGGAAAAAAGACTAAATAGGTGATATTAAAACCAGGCTTAAGTTTGAAGATATAGCCTATATTATTACAAACTTACAATATAAAACAATCTGCTTATCAGTGATAAAGTCCAGGCTGAACATCATCAGTGTAGGGGGAATATTCTACATAATATTTATTTTGTGCAAAAATAAGTATATTATTTATGTTTACTAGTTTTGCTGTTTTTATTTTAGGAAATGATTTGCAGCTGAGTGACTCTGAAAGTGACAGTGATGATTGAAGAAACATTTAGATATAAATATTTTTACAAGGTGTGTGATAATTTATTTTGTATTAAAAATAAAAATACCCCCCAAAATGATTTTATTAAGTAATTAAAAATTAAAAACCTAATATTGTAGAAAATGTCAATGTAAGAATCTATATATGATTCAGAAGTTTAAGTTGTTGTTGCATTTTTAACCTTTTATTGTCTCCCAATTTTAAAATGCCAAGTTACAATATATAATAAATATAATTTTAATTATATTTCTGAGCCCTTTTTGACTAAAGTTCCTGAAATTTTGGTTGAAGATAATTTAAGACTCAATTAAGCTAGAATTTAGGTTTAAAGTGAGGTTAAATAATTGTTTTAAAGAGGAGCTGATACCAAGGACTCAACTAGAGAGAAAATGCTTTGAAAATGATGAAGACAACATATGCACAATGTGATTGATACGATTGATGTATGAATTGTTATAAGAGCTGTAAGTGTCCTCAATAAAATGATTTTTTTTTAAAAAGGAACGTTTAAACTCAAGGACCACTGTGGTGGGGCATGGGGGTACAGGTAAGAAGCTGGATTATATGAAGAAGAATATGGCATCAGGATTGGACGAAGGCTTATTAATAACCTACAATATGCAGATGACACAATTTTGCTTATTGAAAGTGAGGAGGAATTGAAGCGTTTGCTGGTGAAGATCAAGGATTATAGCCTTCACTATGGATTACAACTTAGTGTAAGGAAGACCCACATCCTCACAACTGGACCAATATATAACATCATGATAAATGGGGGGGGGGGGGAGGTTGAAATTGTCAAAGATTTTGTCTTGCTTGGATTCAGAGTCAATGCTCGGATTCACAGTCAATGCTCATGAAAGCAGCAGTCGAAATCAATAGACATGTTGCATTGGGTAAATCTGGCACAAAAGACCTTTTAGAGTATTGAAGAGCAAGGATGTTACTTTGAAGACTAAGGTGCACCTGACCCAATGGTATTTTCCATTGCCTTATAGGCATGTTAAAGTTGGACACTGAATAAGGAATACCAAAAAGATATAAAAAAAAGCAATGTATTTGAAGTATGATGCTAGAGAGAATGCTGAAACTACCCTGGGCTGCTAAAAATATAAACTGGTCTGTGATGGAAAACGTAAGGCTGTAGTCCTCTTTAGAGGCAAGGATGGTAAGCTTTGTTTTACACACTTTGGACTTATTGTCTGCAGAGACCAGTCCTGGGAGAAGGACATTGTGCCTGGTAAAATGGAGTGGGAGCAAAGAAGGGAAGACCCTCAATTAGAAGGATTGGCACAATGACTGCATCAGTAGGTTCAAGCATAGGAACACTTGTGAGGATGGCAAAGGACCGTGTGGTGTTTTATTCTGTTGTGCATGGCATCATTATGGGTTGGAACCCACTCTAGGGCAACCAACAACAATATTCAAATAGTAGCTCTAAAAACCTTTTATCTTTGAGACCCTGGCCTAGTTACCAGGTTTTTGAGCTTCAGTTTCTACATCTATGAATAGGCTAATGATACAGAACTGATGAATCAGACATCATTCCTCTAGTCCCTGAATAATTCCTCCTCCCCACTACCATGACCCAGTTCTACCTTAAAAATCTGGCTAGACTGGTGCAGCTAAGAGTTCCCAACATATGGAATTCAGGAAAGATATACCCCTCAGGAAGAGTAGTGGGAGTAGCGATATGAGGGTAGGGGCCTGGTCAGAGAGAGGGAAGGGTGAGAAAGGGGGAGCCCATCACAAGATACAGAAATGTGTGCGAAGGGAGTCAATGGACAGTGTAAGATATGAAATAATAATAACAATATATAATTGATCAAGGATTCATGAGGGTTAGAGGGAGTGGGGAAAAAGAGGACCTTATACCAAAGACTCAAGTAGAAACTGTTTTGGAAATGATGATGGCAACATATGTACAAATATGCTTGATACAATTGATGTATGGAATGTTATAAAAGCTGTAAGAGCCCCCAATAAAATGACTTAAAAAAATAAGGCTTGTCTATCTAGATACAATAAGGTGGGATAAAACTCCCAACACATGGAATCCAGGAACAGGAATGGGAATAGAGATCCCAAAAGGGTAAGGGGAAGAGGGGGAGAGGATGGGAGGGAGGGGGCACTGATCACAATGAATGGCATATAACCACACAACCCCATCCAGTGGGGAGAACAACAGAAATCAGAGGGGAAGTGAGACAGCAGTCGGTGTGAGATTTGAAAATAATTAACAATCTACAATCTATCAAGAGGTCATGAGGGTTGGGGCGGTGGTGGGGGTGGAGAAGGCAAGGGTAAAAAGAGGAGCTGATCCAAGGGCTCAATGGAAAGTAAATGTCTAGAAAAGAACCATGGAATGTATGTATGAATATGTCAGATACAATTAATTTTTAGTTTGTAACAAGAGTTGTAAGAGCCCCCAATAAAATGATTTTTTTTTTTAAATAAGCGGGATAAATAATCCAGAGGTGAAAACAATGGGACTGATGGTTCCCGGGTGGTGGGGACATGGGTGAGGGAGAGGCAGGGGAAAGGAAGTGGGTGTTAACAACCCCAGGGACAGGGGAACAAGAAGTGGTCTAAAATCGATGTCAAGGGACGCAGGATGCCTGGTAGGGCTTTATCAAGGTCAGTGTAACCGAAAGGAATTACTGAAACCCAAATGAATGCTGAACATGATAGTGGGACAAGAGGAAAGTAAAAGGAAATAGAAGAAAGTACTAGGAGGCAAAGGACATTTATAGAGATCTAAATACACCCATGTAGATATGTAAATATATATGATGGGGAAATAGATCTTTGTACATATATTTATAGGTTAAGTATTAAGGTAGCAGACAGGCCTTGGGCCTCTACTCAAGTACTCCCTCAATGCAAGAACACTTTTTTCTAATAACCTGGCATTCCATGAGGCTCACTTCCCAACACGATCACTGAAGACAAAGTGGGTGCATAAGCAAATGTGAAGAAAGCTGATAGTTCCCAGCTATCAAAAGATAAAGCTTCTGGGGTCTTGAAGATAAACAAGCAGCTATCTAGCTAAGAAGCAACAAAGTCCACATGGAAGAAGCACACCAGCCTGTGTGATCATGAGGTGTCCATGGGATCAGGTATTGTGGAGGAAGGGGCCAGCCCCCCCCCCACTAATCACAGGTTCAATATGTGCAATTTTATGATATATATATATATTAATAAAGCCATCAAGAGCATGAGAGATAAAAGAGATTGAAATCATGGAGTCAGACACATTTCATAGTAGCATGCTCACCTCAGCCCCCCTTGGTGGTCCACGTGGAGAGGGGGAGGGGAAGGAAGACAAGGGGAAAGGGAACAGGATAGCTAGGACAGGAGAGGATGGGAAGCCAGCCAGAGACCAAGGGAGGGGAGCCTGAGAGAGAGCTCTTTATTGCTAACCAAGGCCTATATATCTTTGGGGGTAGTACAAGCCTACTAATTACAGGTAAAGTCATACATCACAGGAAGAGGTTGCACTATAGGTTATACAGCAATGCGAGGTGGACAATCTAGGGATATACACGCAATAGGAAGAGGAGGGATTAGGGGACACATGTGACAAGATAGGCGGATCCTAGATTCAGGATGGCAGCCTAACTTTGGATGTCACTGAGCCAGTTTGACCTGTTCTTTAGATCTCCATAGAAACCATTATCAGTAGGATGTAAACCCCACCTACAGGAACCAAGCTAATGGTCCCAAGCTGTTAGGGAAAAGTAGCCCATTGCCCTTAATAGCAGGGAGTGGGGCCTACCTGTAGTCTGGCAACTGACTGCCTTCTTGTAGTAGGGTAACTGACTGCCTTCAAGGAGGTTACTTGACAATCATTTATCATTAGCTGAAATCAGTGTCCTAAGTCTAACATATATTTGGGGGAGACAACCTGGGAGGAATCTTTCTGTTTCCCACAAGGTATCAGACATCAAAGACTCGGAACAAAAAATCATATCAATAGGAATGAGGGGGAGTCCAGAGTGGAGACCCAAAGCCCATCTGTAGACAAGTGGACATCCCCTTACATAAGGGTCACAAGGAAGAGAAGAGCCAGCCAGGGTGAAGTATAGCACCGATAAAATATACATCTTTCTTCTAGTTCTTTAATGCTTCCTCCCCCACACTATCATGACCTCAATTCTACCTTCCAAATCCGGCTAGAACAGAACATGTACACTGGAACAGGTAAGAGCTGGAAACACAGGGAATCCAGGACCAATAAACCCCTCAGGACTAATATTGAGAGTAGCCATTCCAGAAGGGTAACGGGAAGGTGGGGGAAGAAAGGGGGAACGGAGCACAATGATCTACATATAACTCACTCCCAGGGTGATGGACAACAGAAAAGTGGGTGAAGGGAGACATCAGTCAGTGTAGGACATGAAAAAATAATAACAAATTATAAATTATCAAGGGTTCATGAGGGACGGAGGGTAGGGAGGGAGGAAAAAAGGAGCTGATACCAAGGGCCCAAGTAGAGAGTGTTTTGAAAATGATAATAACAAATATACAAATGTGCTTGACACAATGGATAGATGTATGGATTGTGATAAAAGCTGTATGAGCCCCAATAAAATGATTTAAAAGTAAATAAGGCTAACGAAATTCTCTCTCTAGAGCTCTTGAGAGTCTGAAGTTCTTGTGGATATGCAGCAAAACCTGACTTAGTCATAACTCTCATTGCAGTTCTTAATGTTTTTCTAAGAGTTAAAGCTAGGAGACACAGATTGGGGCAGAAGGAGGTGAAGAATGAGGACCATGTCAAAAGACATTTCAAAGTGAGGGCAGAGGGGGTGTCTGTGGTCTGTTCTGTGAAATGGATATTTCCTGGGAGAATGTACTCAAATACAGACTACGTCACCCTGCTGTTAAAAAAATGTTTTAATGAAACAGCAATCTGTTTTTTACTATTTTCCATTGATTACTTATTTTTTCTAGAGAACAAGAGCTAAGGGTTAATTGATATATCATTAATACACATTTACATTATTTTTTATGTGGGAGAAATGATGGATGTTATATTGTAGTCATACTTTTTTAATAACAAAGCCACTGGTCTGCAATTTCTTTTCTTCAACTTTTTCTCTTTCTTACCTTGAAATTTCTAATTTTATTTATTTATTTTTGAAAACCCCTGAGTTTGAGTTTTAATCTTTCCCTCTTACTCTTTTTCTTTTTCTCCTTCTTTCTGGCCTGCCTTAGCTATTCTACTTGAATCTTCATCTTATTTCTGTTTACTTATAGGTACTTAGCTCATCACTGCAACTCTGTGCCATTTTTTCCTTAACTAAAACAGCTCATGAAGAGCAGGTTTACTCATTAAAAACAGGTGGAACCCACCAAATTGTAGCGCTTAGTCACTCATCCTATCTGGAACTGAATTCAAATTA